ATGCTCCTATGGCCCTTTTATGGCGAGTGTGTGTGTGTGTGTGTGTGTGTGTGTGTGTGTGTGTGTGTGTGTGTGTGTGATAGTTTAATACTAAAGTAAACATACATGAAATGCATGGACTTGCTACCAAAACCAAAAGCAGAACCTAAATGACGGCCCACGTGGTAGCATATGCCCTGTCTCCACTGTCTTCAGTTACTTGAACCCCACCCTGGACCCTTCATTAACTGTTTGTTTCCCTCCAGTTCCTTCTTTCCTTTTGTTTTGTTTTCTTTTTTGACACAGGGTCTCACTGTGCGGCCCAGGATGGGCCTCAGGCTCGGGAGGCTTGTGCCACAGTGTGAGGGTTTCTATTGCTGTGAGGAGACACCATGACCACCGCAGCTCTTAAATGGAAAGCATTTCATTGGGGCTGGTATACAGTTCAGAGGGTCAGTCCATTATCATCATGGCAGGCAGCGTAGCAGTGTGCTGGCAGACGTGGTGCTGGAGAGCCCACCATCTCGCAGGCGACGGGAGGTTGAGGCACTGGGCAGTATCCTGAGCATAAGCCTCAAAGCCCACCCCCACAGTGACGCACTTCCTCCAACAAGGCCACACCTCCTAATAGTGCCACTCCCTATAAGATTGTGGGGGCCAATTACGTTCAAACTACCGCACACAGCTTCCTGAGTGCTGCAATTACAGGCATACACCTCCATGCCCCGCTGCTTCTTTGAAATAGTTTTTATTATATCCATATATTTTTTTAAAGAATAAAGGCTTTCATTGTGGGTTGCTTTTAATTGTAATGCTGTTTTCACTAACGTATTTCCAAGATCCTTGCTGAATTTCTTCATTTATTTACTGTTGTCCACTTACGGAGTGGCCATACCATTCTTGAATGACCTGCTTTCCCGTAGCCAGGCAGGGTTAGGCTCAGGAGTTTGCCCTTGTGGACAGGCTGCAATAAATATTCTTGCAGCTGATACCATCAAAAATGTACAAGCCATTCTTTCTGAGTTCTGAGCTGAGGAGTTGTATTCCTGTGCTCTAAGTGTGAATCTACTTTAGGAGTGATGCCAAAGCAGCTTCTCAAGCTTTTATACCAGTTCACACCCTCTCTGACACTTGCTGCACTGTAAATCTGGGCAGCCTGAGTGTGTGTGAGATCTATTGCATGTGGTCTGCTACAACTGTTAACGGTGATCATGGGAGATACGTTCTCAAGTCTTTACCGCCTCCTCTGTGAGACGTCTGGGTTTTTTGTTTGTTTGTTTGTTTGTTTTGTTTTTGTTTTGTTTTGTTTTGTTTTTGGAGACAGGGTTTCTCTGTGTAGCTTTGTGCCTTTCCTGGAACTCACTTGGTAGTCCAGGCTGGCCTTGAACTCACAGAGATCTGCCTGCCTCTGCCTCCTGAGTGCTGGGATTAAAGGCCTCAGATCACCAAAGTGCTGCTTCTGAGTCCTAGAAGTGTCTTTATGTAATATCAAAAGATAAACATCTGCACAGACAGCTCAGCACATGGGAAGGAGCAGTTGTACACCACATGAAAACATTTTGTGCACGAGCACATTTGTCTCCACACCAGAGCCAAGCTTATCTCTGAACATTTGAGAATTACTGAAGATGCCGGAAGAGCTACCATTTGTCACAGCGTGCTTCTGAGGAGGGGGTGAGCGTAACTTTGCTCCTGTGCCTTCCCTCTCTTTCATGCTGCTTATACTCTGGGATAACTTAGTTTGGAGTGGAGTAGTTCAGTCTCTGAGGTCCATCCCTGGTGAGGAAGCAGGACTCTGAGCTGGGCAATGTCGGGAGGCAGAGGCAGGTGGATCTCTGTGAGTTCAAGGCCAGTCTGGTCTACAAAGTGAGTTCCAGCACAGCCAGGACTACACAGAGAAACCCTGTCTCAAAAAACCAACGTGTGTGTGTGTGTGTGTGTGTGTGTGTGTGTGTGTGTGTGTGTGTGTATGTATGTGTGTGTGTGTTCCAAACACAGGGAAGACCAAGGCTCAGCTCTTTGGCTGGTAAACAGCTGTAAACTTCTGCATTGAAAAGCACAAAGTAGAACAAAACAGAAATCAAAACCATCTGCCTGCCAAAGAGAGCAGCTCATTTAGGGGCTGGCTATTCTAACACCAGACATCACCCCAGGTAAAAACACCCCACTTTACCAACTGAATGAGCTGCTTCTCACTCAGCACTCACAACCTCATCTCGCCACTGATCTCTCAAGTCTCCTTCAGTGCTTAGGTCAGTAGGGACCGGCTGGCCCCCGTCTTTGCTCATGTTGGCTGTTCAACTTGGAACACTTTCTTGTCTGAGGCTAGAGACCATTTACCAGTCTTTTCCACTCTCTCCAGGCAGTCCACGGTGGACTGTGCTCCGCCTGAGACCTCGGCATCCGGTACTGTGCAGAGGCGCCTGCTGGGTCCTAGGCTTCCCCGCGCTTGTTTGTACACTTAGCGCCTCTGCTGGGATTGTGAAGGGAATCCTCCCTGTACCAGTGCCTCACACAGAACTGCTAGGATGGGGATTTAGAGTCCAGGGGGGGTGTTAAGGAGAAAAACCTTTGCATGTTCAATACAGAAAGCTTTTTGTAGAGCCTTGTGTGGGTCGAGGTACACAGAGCTATGATGGACAGAAGGAAACAACCTGAGCTACAGGTAACATGGTTTCACACCAAGTGAAAAAGAAAATCCCTGCCTGATTGCGGTCTTCAGAGCTGCATATTGCCATGTAGCTCTACAGCATCTGTACGCTAGCGGACGACGGTCTTGGTGTGACCATTTCTTTTGCTAAATTGATGCAAAAACATTCCTTGAAATGTTTAAAAAGACCTTTTCTCCTCCTCAGGGCCAGTTCTGTGACTATTGTAATTCTGAGGATTCCAGGAAGGCACATCCAGCCACCCATGCGATTGATGGATCTGAACGTTGGTGGCAAAGTCCCCCTCTCTCTTCAGGCATACAGTACAACGAAGTCAACCTCACCTTGGACCTGGGTCAGGTGAGTTTGGCTTTTGAGTGGAACGGAATATTGGTTTGGATCACTGTTTCTGTGATGGTTTCTGACATGAAAAATTTATTGTCAAAAATAAAATTTAGTTTTAATCCATTTGTTGTTTTCAACCCATGACATTGATATTTGCTTCCTTTAAAACCCAGACCAGCACGAGTCACCTTGTCTGTGAATTACGTTTAAAACACAGTGGTGGGGATCGGAGAGCCAGCTCAGTTGGTAAAGTGCCTGCCACACAGAGATGAGGACCTGAGTTCAGTCCCTCAGAATCAACATAAAAGCCAGGCATGGTGGCGGCTGTCACCCAGTGCTGGGGAGGTGGAGACAGGAAAATCCTGGGGTTTGCTGAGCAGCCAGCCTAGGCAAATCAGCGAGCTCTGGGTTCAGTGAGAGACCCTGCCTCAAAAAAGAAGATGGAGAATGATTGAGGAAGAGACTCAGTGTTGACCTCTGGCCTCCATACACAAGAGTACATATGTGTATACATACTCTCACACATACACCTACATGCATACACATAAATATAGAGTTGTGAGTATTATGAAAATATTCTTTATTATTATTTTGTGTCATAATGCAAACATAAAGTTATCATTTTCACCGTTTAAGTGTATTGTTCAGTGGCGCTTACTGCCCTGACATTGCTGGACAAACACCATCACCGTCCACAGTCTGCACCTCTCTGTCTTGTAAAGCTGAAACTCCCCACCTGGTCCTTCCCCCATCTCTCCTGTAATCCAGGCAGCCATTGTGCTACTTGCTGGGGACTGATATCTCTAGGACTGTCACATAAGTGAAATATAAAACTTGCCTTTTTGTGGCTAACCTAAGCTTTCAAGCTTTTGTACCATGTGCCAACATTTCCTTCCTCCTCTGGGCTGAATGAATAGTATTCCATGTATTTCTATCCACCATTGTATGTCTCCATTGATGGATACTTGGGTTACTTCCAGCTTTGGGCTATTGTGAATAGTGCCATCAAATACATGGGTGTGGTGATTATATTTTTATTGCATTCTTCTTCCTGGAAATTCTGAATCACTGAACAATGAATACCATAATTTGGAGCCTTATTTGGCCAACTGGTCCACAGGGAGGCAGGCTTGAGGTCTATCCTGTGTAGGCTATGAGGGCCCCAAGATGGATGCCCCTGGTGCATATAGCATATAGTCGATTCCCTTGTCCTTGAGCACAGGCAGCATTGTGACTGTCGTAGATGTGGCTCCCATACTTAGGTGGCATCGTATGACAAACATGAGGAATTTTTGTGAATGCATTTATGGTTCTGTAAGCCAGTTGATTCAAATGGGGAAGTTTTCTCTGATGAGTAGAGTTTCCAATGGGATTGTACCTTCTGAGGGGAGACATTTGACCCTTGTGAGTCTCCCCTACTGGCCTGAAAGGCAGACACTGTCAGGTTGTGTACTTCCCCTAGGGACAACCATGGGACAAGGATCTGAAAGTAGGCTCCCAAAGCTGAAGGTGGCCCCAGCCAGCAGCCGACAGAGCAGTGTCCAGCTGACAGCTTGATTGCACTTTTGATCTTGAGCAGAGAACTTGGCCAAGCCGTTCCTGACTCCTAGCCAGTACTTTGAGATAATAAATGTATTATTTCAAGACATTAAGCTTAAGGTACTTTGTTATGCCCAAGCAGAAAATGAATACAACTTATTCTCCCTGAGGAAGTTCAGACTCTTCCTTTTACCTGTATTTATTACATTTCTTCCATGTGCCAAACACTGCAGTAGGCACCTGGGATATATCACAGATCCTAAATGTATACATAGTAAACTCGTGTAGTGTGTTTGAAACTGAAAAGGGCAATGGAGGACTGAAAAAGCCAAGTAGGCTAAGGTGTTGTGTGTCAGGGACAGTAGTTGTAGCTGCTGCTTTTTCTGGCTCTTCAGAGCAGAGGTTACTGTGAACATACAGTTGAAGCAGAGTTCTGAAGCATGTGAAAGGCTTTGTCAAGCACATAGATGTCTGTAGCACAGATCCTAATTGGTCTTATTAATAATAACCCGGAGTCAGATATCAGGTTGAAAGCTGAAAGATCAGAGAAGCAGAACAGCCAGCCACTAGTTCTTACCTCTATGAAATCCTCAGCCTGAAAGGGAGATGAACTCCTGTCTCCTCCCGCCTTATATTCCTCTCTCCACCCAGCCATATCACTTCCTGTCTCCACCTCCCTAGTGCTGGGTTTAAAGTTATGTTTGTTTCTCATTCAGACTGGATCAATCTTGTGTAGACCAGGCTGGCCTTGAACTCATAGAGATCCGTCTGCCTCTGCCTCCCCAGTGCTGGGATTAAAGGCATGCGCCACCACTGCCTAGACTCTATGGTTATCTAGTGGCTAGCTCTGCCCTTTGGTCTTCAGGCAAGCTTTATTTGTTAAAGCACAAACAAAATATCGCCACAGATGCGTGTCACCCAGACAAAGGGAACAGCTCTCCCAAACCCCTAAGACAGAGTTTATATGAAAAGCAGAAGAGCAGCATGGAGACCAGAATGAGCAAGGAGGAGGTGGCAGCGGGAGAAGGGGTCGAGGAGGAACAAGCCACAGGTGACCGGAAAATGAAGCGAGAGTCAGCTGGGGGTTTTGAGTCTGGGATGGACACTCGCTGCGTATCTTAAAGTCATCTCTTTGGGTGTTCTGTAGCGGCGGATAAGGAGCTGAGTGGGAGGAAGATAACCAACCACAGCCCATGAGGGAGGTGCTGGTAGCAGCTGTGATGTCGTAGTGGATTGTAGTGGAGTTAGGGAAAGGGAGGACTTAGGGATGACTCCCTAGATGCTTGAGCACCACTGTCGACGGAAACATCTGTGGGAAGACCGCACATCTGGTGCTGTGGCTCTGGAGGGCTCTCTGGGGGAGAAGTAGAAGTTGAATGTAGATTCCTTTGGTCTCGCTTGTGCTGGCTTCTCCCAGCAGCTTCTCAAGTCTGTTGACTTAAGCTTTCCATCTGCTTTGAACATTTCAATCATTTCATTGAATAATTCTCAGTACTTTTCCTTCTGGGATTCTGACAACAAATGTTAGCTTTAAATTTTTTCTGTGTGTGTGTGTGTGCATGTGTGTTGGTGCTAGTGTTTACCACATGTGTGCAGGTGTCTGCAGAGGTCAGACCCCCCCCCCAGGAGCTGGAGTCACAGGCTGCTGTGAGCCACTGGACATGGGTGCTGGGAACTAAACGTGAGTCCTCTAGAAGAGCAGCAAGTCCTCCTAACCACCCAGCTGCCTCCCAGCCCCAAATGCCAGCTCTTCCGTCACTGTTCTCCAGTTCTCTGGTGCTGTGTTCATCTTTATTTTCCAGCTGATTCTTTTCCTTTTTTTCCCCAGCTGAGACGGTTAGTCCTGACTTCAAATCCACAGATTATTTTGTATTTTGCCCCTATTAGGTTCTCAGGCCCACAGAGAAAATTTGAACTTTGCCTCCTGTGCTTTTCAGCTCCCTTTTCTACTCGTTCTTTGTTGTATGTTTTATTTATTCATGGAGGGTTTTTTTTGTTTCAGAGTACTTATGATCATTTATTGGAGCACTGTTTGTAAGAGCTAAAAGTGGAAGCCACTCGAAGGTCTGCCAACTGACAAATGAGTAAACCAGATGCATCCTATGCACACAATGGGTTGTTACCCAACAGTAAGAGCTGTAAAATCTCCATGAAAGCTTCATGAGCAAATCTTGAAAACATCATGGTGTGTAAAGGAAGCCAGTTAAGAGGCCACGTGCTCCAGCTTGTGTGAAATGTGGAGAGGCAGATCTAGAGAGAGAAACCTTAGCTTGGTGCCTGCTTGGCCTGGGGCTTCTGGAGAAAGCTGGAGAATGGCTGCTAATAGGTCTAAAGTAGAAATGTGGTTTGTGGAGGAGAGCATCGCTTAGCAGCCGCTCCTGCATAGTGAGCACCGTGCGTGAGAGGAAGAACCACAGCTGCCGGTGCGGCTCCGGCAGATGTTGTCAACACTCACATATACCACACAACACCAGTGATGCTCTGACAAACATGCTGTTCTTGTCGCTGTTGTGTGCAGAGCACAGCTCACCTACAAAATTCTGCTAGAAAGAAATGGATAAAGATGTTCGCTGTTCCCTGAAAACCAAAAGATACTGAGGTTTCTTAGAATGTCATTTTCATTCAGAGTGGGCCTAGTTTTATGACAGAAGGCCCCTCAGCCTCCTTACTCTCTGTTGTGATGAGCAGGCCGCTCCTGACAGTGTCTCCCCATCCATTTGCATGTGATTTAATTCACAGAGATCCATCATGGGTCAAAGGCTGTAGTACGCTGATTCAGTGTGAATTAGTTTTCTTTCCCAAAGAGCTAACCTGAAGCTTAATTCAGGTTTTATCAGTAATGACCAAGATTTACCTATTGTCACTTTTTTTTTTTTTAATGAGAAAAGGTCTAGCTATGTAATCCGTTCAGCCTAGGACTCAGTATCTTCTTGCCTTAGCCTCCCAAATGCTAGGACTACAGGCATATACCAGTACAAATCATGTCACTTTTTTTTCCCCCAGGCACTGGGAATTGTACTCAGGGCCTGACCCATGCTGGGCACGCCTAACCTTTATTACGTCACTTTTTACCTGAGGCTTTCTGTAACAGGGAATTTTAACCCATCAAAATGATTCTCACCAAACATAACCATACCAGTTATACTTACAGCTTTTTTAAAGGCCATTTTAAAAAGACTTGCTTTTGAAAGCACCCCTTTGATGTGCTAAAGAACCCCTAATTAAGACACTTAAATTCAGAAAACACCAACATAGGAACAAGTTAGTAATCTGCTGGTGTCTGACAGACATCAGTCATAACATGCATATTCATGAAGGCTCTCTGTCCACCCACCTCTTGGCTGGCCAGGAGCGGCTTTGTACAGTGGGTGGCTCGGTGGTCTACAGTCAGCCTGCCCCAGCCTGTGCCTCGCATCCTGCTGACTTGCTGTGTGGCCCTTTACAACACATGAGCTGGCTCTTCTGTGCTTCAGTTC